GGGCGTGGAATTTATTTTCGGTGGCCACGCCCACTGAAAAATATTGCTTCTTAGATTCCCGAATACACGTTAACCGTGACAGATATGTTAAAGTACCGGTATATCTCTTCAACGCAGTATTTGATGTGTTTTGATGAACGTTAATAAAGGGAAGTTGAGAAGGCATTAACCCATTTTCTTGAGCATAAGCCTTATTTTTTATTTCATGGGGGCGCAAACTTTTTGTTTTGGGGCGTGCGCCCCCCACGACCCCCCCCCCTCCTTGGATACGCCACTGGGTCTCTATTCAGAGGTTTCTTGATTGAGTCCGAATCCCGAGACCGCCCCAAATTTCAGCTAAACAAAGTGGTCTTGAATTGGAGGGTGGACAGTATTCGTTATCTCATCATAAACTGTGATATAAAGAGAGGGCATAAACACTATCCTGTTGTTTTTTCATCCTTCGTGGTTTTGTGCTATATTTTGTTGTAACGCAGTATTCTATTTCTTCTTATCTTCTTCGCAGAGCATTATATTTCAATAAATTGGTGCATATTGACTCTGAGGCATTTGCTGAGGTGGGAAAGTTAATGTCGTTGTAAGTAGTCAAATGCATTGAACTACGATCATTTTAACTACAACGTTAAGTATGTCTAAATGCTAACACTTATACACAGATGCAGTTTAATTCAATTTTCTCAGTTGTGCACACATGAAAATACAGATGCCAAAACAAATAAAAATTTACAAGCAAGTGGTGGGCTTAGATAAAACGCTGGGTGGATTTAAGGTCCAGCAATAAAGTATCCTTATAATTAAAACAGATTATAACTTCCTCCAGTACAATACAAGTGATTTTTAATACAAAAAAATGAAAAGAATATATATATATATATATATATATATTAAAATAAAAATTGATTTAAGGAATAGAGACTGACAGAATAGTGTAGTGCATGTGTTTGGTCCATATAAAAAAACTTGTTTTAGGTTTGAGACTGTTTACGAGAGGTAGATTATGATTTAGCTTGTGTAGAATAATTTTTGTGTGTACAAATTTGTTAGCTAATGGCAATTGTTCAGCTATAATGAAGTTGTTAAATGAAAATGTCAGTATTAATATTGAATATCGTTAATTTAAATGATGTTAATCTTAAAAATGTTTGTGTGGGATCGATAATGTGTATTACATATTATTCGTACGGCTCATGTTTGTTCATCATGCTATAAGTGTAGTAGATGGTTATGTTATACCTCAGCAAGGATTCGATAGACTAACATATAATCTACTGCATGTGACAGTAGCATAAAGATGGGGAAGAATATTTATAAAGTAAAACAAATCTTGAGAATATATAAAGAGTATTATTATTAGCCATTCTTAATGAGAATACAAAAAAAAATGTTTTAAAGAATGGTAATCTTTTTACAAAATATAATATAAATATTTAATATTATTAAATAATATTTTTCGGCAGACTACCATTTATACTTTTCCAGGCCCCTAGACACCATAGAGACATGAACAACTAGGAATAGATAACTAATAGTGATAACAACCTTATCCATTTTAGAGGACTATGCACTCTTCAATGTGCTAGCAAAGACAGGCCTGCTCCCCCACCACTATAGTTACACTTTCTTGATAATACTGTAATAATAATAACAAATAACAGTATAATAACAATAGCAATAACAATAGCAATAATACTAACAGCTAGCATAGCATATCGAGATACATGGCTAAGTGGAAAAATGGATTAACCTTTATCTGGTGATTAATCTTTTAGGTTTCCACACCCACATAAGCAATTCTTGACTGGTATATATTTTAATTTTATTGTTATGGCATAAATTATATAGGGCTACGAGTTTGAGCATTTTCAAGCTTTCCCCATTAAAATTGGCCAAGTACGTACAAAGATATGATATTATTCATTGTTTTTGGTAAGGTTGTAGTCAACTATTCAATAAAATACTTTATACCCCTCTGCTGATAGCAATTGAAACAAGGCTTTCTTATCGGCCAGTGAAACATGGTATGACGGAACAGAAACGCATTCATGTAGTAGTACCAGGTTTAAGGGAGACAGGCATTTTACACAGTTATGAAGTTAATTAGCTGTATATACATAGTCATTATTATTCATTACTTCTAGCAAGTAGAACTATCTGCAACAATATTGCAAATGTTTATATAACTGATATAATATGGTGTTGCTATGCAAATTAAACCTTCTATTCTAATTTACAGGACATTGGATAATAACTTATTAAAAGAATTTCCGGTCGCTCTTTATAATCTTGACATATCGCATTATTTGTAAGTGTTCTTACCATACGTATTTTGATTTACTAATGCCACTATATTGTACAGGGAATACAATAATATTATGGATTTTCCGAAATAAATTAAAACGCTAGCCTACACGTCACAACCTACCTCCTTGGCTCAATTACTTCAAAGTATAATGTGTATTTTTGTATGCACAGAACTTGGTAAATGTGTTGAAGACTTGGAATACACTGATTATAAGAACCTGAAAATTCAATTAATAACATTCATCAGATTTATATTTTTCCCATTATTTCTAGAATCATCAGTATGAACTCCATCGACCTGAGCTCACATCCCAATAGAAGCGTAATTGCCCACTCGCCGAGAACATTGATTATTGCAAAAAATGAAATACAATCAATTTCAAGAAATCATTTTTGTAGTTTAAAATCCCTGGAAGAGATGTAAGTGTTTTCTTTTAAGGGATCAAACTTACTAGATCAAGAATGAGCACATTAGTGTAGCTATTGCTAGGCCTTTCCATTCACACACCACCTTCATTATGTACGGTACATAATGGGTCTAGATTTTTTTAATATGTCCACGTAATTATGTTTTCCCCATAAATTAGCCCATTTGTTAAAATGTATAGTTAGGCCCAACACTAGTTAGATTTTACACGTATAATGGATTCATTATTTAGTTTTTTCAAATGAAGATGATTCATTCACAAACGTGTGTGCCGCCTCTTGTTTTTTTCGTGCCCTGTGTGTGTGACTCACTTGACTTTTGTTTGTTCCACTTATAACTTGTCCTTTTCGGCACGATACACTTGGTATTTGCACTTCGTCACTTGATTTTTGCACTGTGGCACTTTACTTTTACTGTGCCAATTGACTCTTGCTCTGTGCCATTTGTGTTTGTTTCCTTTTGACTATTGCACTTCGCTATTCATGGTTTACCGTTTTGTCATTCCAAAAACTATCTCAAACAAAAGTTGTAAAGGTTTGCAACATTGACTGCAGAAGCATGGCAACAGTATGGACAACAAAGTTATATATTGGGCCTAACTTGTTAGTGAAAATAGTAAAAAATGAAATAAAGAAATAATATTGATATAAGAATGCATGCTGTTTATTTATCTTATTGGACTAATACATTTAAATTGTTTTTTTTTTACAATTCTAAAGATTCATTTACATGAATAAGATATCATATATAGAAAATGAATCGTTCAATGGAACCAGTCTCACGCATTTGTAAGTACATTTGTATTACTAATGGAAATAATACTAATTAACTATTGACTTATAATTTGTAAAAAAATATATATATAAATATATGTCCTAAATAGTGAAGTAATGCATTCTCACAATTATTTTTTTTAGATATATATATGGAAATAGTCTCCATAAAATTACAGGTGAAATGTTTAAAGTAGGCACCGGTTCACTTCGATATCTGTAAGTAAAATATCAAGGTAGATTCACACACGAATCCTAATTTGGTTCGTATAGCTAACGAAACAAAAAAAATAAGCATCAAATCAGTTTTAAAGAATAGAGGTAAAGTAATGTATAATTTTTTTCCTTCCAGATACCTATTTAATAATCCGATTAAAAACATCGACCAAGGCGCATTGTCTAATCTGGCTCCGAATGCAACAGTGTAAGCATAAACTAACTGTTAACATGTATCAAATATTCACGTATTTATTATCTCATGTTGGTTACGGTATACCACAGTTTGCATACTTATATATAAGTATATAATATATATTTATATATATATATTTGCATACTTATATGTATACTTACAGGCATATTTTATGCTAAATATTGTGTAAAGCCAATTAATGCTTAACTTGTAATGCACTTGTCAATTGTAGCCCCCCACCCCAGACCCGGGCCTAGTGGGGACTTAGCCGGGAATGCAATTTACGAAACGGATAATAATGTGCATGTCAAAGTCCCAGCCACCTCGGGAAGTCGGCATGCATATTCATGTATATCAGTTCACCTAACTGACTAAGAATAGCGCCTTCTGTAATTTCTGCCTTAAGTGTATGGGAAAAAATGATGTATCCGATCCCACTGGGTTCCCCTTGAATCCGCCACTGCATGGGGGAATCCTTTAACACTCAGGTGACCTAGGGTTTTAAAACAAATATTGCTTATTACGAAATTTCTATGAAAAGATATACGATTCTTGAGAGAGAGGACTCGATGGTTGTTTTATATAAAAGATTACTCAGACACGCCTTGAATGTCAACTATAAACAACATTATTACAAATAAAGACCTGTATGGAGCTGTTCCCCCTGTATCAAGGATTTTGAGGGCATGTAGATTAGCATTTGTTTGACATTTCTACAGAAGTATATATGAAGTTATTTCAAGGGTTCTCTTTTGGGAATTAACCCACGGCGAAAGGAAGCAGAACGGCCCCGACTACATACACCCAGCAATTATAAATGGATCTAAACACACAGCGGCAGTAGGCCTACATTCCACAACTTATGGAAAACAGTTATAAAAAAGTTTGCTCATCATTAACCGGGTGTGCCCGATAACGAGAGGGAGACAAGGAAGGCAGTGGCGTATAAAGGGGGTGCTCAGGGTGCCTAAGCACCCCTCCCCCCAATCAGAGGTTGAAACAATATAAAGTGCCCCTTTTTATATGTTAAGAAATATCTGACATAAATTATAAGTAATACAATGCCATTCCCGGCATCTAAAAGTCCCCAATTGTTAACATTTTCTCACCTCAGCCTCAACCATGATGGGGCTCAGGTGGTTCCTAGTTTCTATGCCTTAATGTGCCATCTTCTGGCATCTAAAAGTACCTAATTCTTTAAATGTTCTCATCTGATCAGCATCATCCATGATGGTGGTCAGGTAGATATAGTAAATTTTGTAGTTATGTATTAATGTGCCATTTTCTGAAATCTAAGTCTCTAATTCTTATATTTGTCTTATCGCAGCTTCAACCACGGTGGGCTGAGGTGGATGGATTGGTAGTTTTCATAAATTTTAAGTATCAAAGTGCCATTTTTCGGGAAACTATAAAGTCTCAAACTCCTAAAATTTACTCATATGCGCCCTAACACCATGATGGTGCTCAAGTAGATATCGTAAATTTTGTACTATTTAAGTTTTAAATTCTCAAACTTTCCTCACCTGAGCCCAACTAGTGGGGCTCAGTTGGATATGGTAGTTTTTAGAATTGTAAGTGTTTAAGTGCCACTTCCGGGTACCTATTTAATTCATTCGTGTTATTTTTTACTCAATTCGTCAAAATAAAAAGAATTAGAAGATAATTTTATTTCAATTTTCAGGCATCCTCCCCCCGCCTTCTTCCTTAAATCCTGGATACGCCACTGAAAACATTACTTAAGCCAAATATATTTTCATTCGTTTTGTTGTTCATGTGAATGTCTGATAGGTTTTTACTTTAAATCAATGCTAAAACCACACAGTGCCAATGCCAACACAGACACACCGGGCCCGTACGCAGGCGGGGGCTGGTGCGACTGGTGCGTACACTCCCCCCCCCCCCAAAAAAATAAAAAGGATCCACAGGGGTAGAAAAAGCAATTGTTCATATAGAAAATAAAAGAAATGGGAGAAGTTTTCACACTAGGACATGTGTATAAGAGACAGGTAGAAAATTGAAGACACACTCTCACACGTTCCATAAATCCATCCACCAAAACTTATTGACCAATTACAGCATTTTCCAAATAGAACTGACTCTAATTTGTCTTTAAAGCAAGGACTTTTAACTGTATTTATAAGCTTTTTTAGGAATTTGAGTTTAATTATCTTTATTCTCGTTTAAGTCTGCGAGTGCCAATTCCGGCCATCTAGAGGTGCCATAATCATACATGTTGTTTTCCTCAACTCCAACCACAGTGGGGGCCTGCTGAGGTGTGTGGACACGGGTCTCTATTTCTGTGCAATTCCCTCTCTGGACCCCCTCTATTTCGAATTCCTGAATGCGCCACGATCCCCCTCACTGGCCCTGAGGGTGGTGGACTTATTCGCTTTGAAACAACAACAAAAGGTTTTTTGCTTTCCCTCCCCTGTTCCCAATCAGACCAATATAGGCTTATTTTATGAATTCTCGATTTTATATATTTTTGACGTCCACCCATCTCATCCACGACGTAAAGCGCTAGTAATTATTGGTTCATATTTGCAATTTCCATTAATTCCATTTATTTATAATATAACATTTACAGTACATTTATGGTAAACATTTAGTATTTTCAATGCCCAATGATATTACAGGGTTTTTTTTTTATTGTGCGCTGTTTACACCTACATTAATTCTTTTAAGTTTAAATTTGATAATGTTTTATTTACCATGTCCTATAATTTTACATAATATGTGTTGACAAATATATTTTTAACCAACTTGAAACTGTTTAAAAACATATTGCAAACAATTTTGATAAACTACAGAACATTGTAAAATAAAAACACTAAACAATGTTTGCTCTCAAACCAGTGGTGCATACAGTGGGTGGAGGCAGCCAGCCCGGGCCCTCCCACTACATGAAAGAAAATAAAAATTATGTTCAAAAAAGTCTTAGGGCCTGTTTATACTTGCAACGATAACGATAACGATAAAAAGCTAAAAAGCAATTGTTCATATAAAAAATAAAAGAAATGGGAGAAGTTTTCACACTAGGACGATTCGATAAAGATTTATCGTGTATACAACAAAATATTTCGACAAATCAAATCAGATGTCGTCATAATCATGGAAAAACGATGAAATCGTTGCTAATACTACGATTTTAAAGTTTTTCTATGATTATGACGTCACTTGATTTGATTTGTCGAATCGTCTTAGTGTAAAATCTTCTGTTATTTTCCATGAACAATTGCCCTTTACCTTTTTATCGTTACCGTTATCGTTGCTAGTATAAACTGGCCTTTAGAGTGATATTTCTGGCTGCCTGGGGTGCCATGGAATTAAAGAAATTTCCTACCTCAGTCCTTACCATATCGATCATCCATCTTTTAAGGTCCCTTCCTGGGCACTCTCATTTCCTGGACTGCCACCAAAAAAGTTTAATACTGAGTTCATATTCAAAATCTATTAAGACCTCAAAATATCAAGAATATCTGAGCGCAAGGGGACTAGTCATTAACACCGCCCTTCACCCCCCCTCCCATTCATAGATCCACTTTCCACAAATTCCACCCAATAAAAATCCCACGTTTGGGCCTGCACATGCACGACTGAACTGAGCGACTCCAAATTAATATTAGTGGTTATGTAACGTTTGTCATGTAGTGTATCATGTGCTATAGAAATGGAAGACCATAATGTAATGGGAATGTACCTCTCTGGTAGGACATGAATATGGGCTAGCGTGGATTTAAACAATGCCCTAATTGTAATGTTTAAAATAAGCGTCAAGGAAAGTAAGTATGATTGTTTTAAAACCTGACCTTCGCCTGGGCCGTCTGGGCAAGGTCTGGATCCGCGCCTGATTATAAATAAAATTGTAGGGGGTGTAGGGAGTCATATCCCAGCGGCGTCATGGACAGATTTGTACAAACTATATTTAGTACTGCATGTGTGCTCGCGGTACTGAGTATTTTCCAGTAAATGTGGTTTACTGAAAAGACTGTCTCCAGTCCAATTACGAGCTACATTTAGCCATGCACTGTATAATAAGTTTGTAATTAGATGACAGCAGCATATTTGAGTTGTTTAAACTTCATTATCACTGTTTATATTTAACTTTAATCAAAATATAAAACATAAACAAAATACGATTGAAATTATAACAGTTAAATATTGTTGTAAAGCTGTTAATAATGTAATGTAACCATAATTGATTTACTCTTTTTCATTTGATTGTTGAGGTAATGCTGGTTTCATCAGCCTTTGATTCGAAAACGTTTCGTTATATTATATTGTTGATTTACCTATTAAGTACATGAAATGAAGCTGGGATGTATTTCATGATACCATGTTTTGAACGTCCGTTCATAAGAAATTCTTTTGGAAGCATGAACACAAGGGACGTAATTTTTTTTTAAACAGAAATAAAAAAAAATGTAAATATATGAATATACTTGATGTAACGTCTATAATACATGATCGAGTATGTCCATAAAATTAGTACAGATTAAACGTCAGTACTTGGGCAGATTTTATGTTAAAAAAAACAAAAACTATAAAAATGTAAATGCTAATAGATGATATTCATAACGTGTATCATGATTGAGTGAGCGAATTCTCCTTAAAGATTTGTGCATCGTGAAATTGTCAAAAGGACCGCAAAATGAAAAATGTAACTGTTGTAAATATGAGGATACTCAATGAGTTTTATATTTATTCACTTTAGGAAATATAGATAAGTATAAAACAGAAAATTATTGAAAAAAAGAGACAATGGAAAATAAAGGTGGGTTATCCCACAATAAAGGAAAAAAAATAACGGTTTATATTGTTCTCGGTTTAAATAGTTACTTATTTATTATATTTTAATAATTAGGTATCTGGAATGTGGAAACCTCGAATACATCCCGTCTAAGATTGCAGGACACACAAATGCGTACGTAACTTGAATCTTTAAAATTTAAACTTTAATTATAAAAAATCATTGCAGGGAGAAGTAACACTTATACATGTTACTAAAGGCCTAACGCTGAATGGTGACATTTTTGGCTTTTAAACCAAATGTGATTATTTTAGGACTAGTGAGACAACACAACACCAGTGTAGTACTGTACTGCACCCGCCGTTGGTAGACATGGATACATTCGAAATATAGAAATAGAGCCAAATTTAGTTACTTTAGATCATTTGAGCATTTAGGTTATTTATTATTGTTTTAAATTTAGAATGTGTGTCACAAATACAACAGTACTTACTTTCCCAGCCGGTTTTTATTCAAAACGCTATTTCTATGGAATGACGTGCGATAGTATAATGTGCAAGCCTTGTGGACTTGGTTTATACGGGAAGATTACAGGATCAGGTTGTTACACTTGTCCAGCAGGTAAATAGAAAATTAATTTATTGCAATAATATAAATAACATTATTGTGGTACGCTCGAAAATAACTTATTACTATTATTATTATTATTATTATTATTATTATTATTATTATTATTATTATTATTATTATCATCATCGTCATCATCGTCATCATCATTATGGTTATTGTTGTCATCACTGTGCTATCCTCATTAACATCATCATATCATCATCATTATCACGATCATCATCATAATCATCATCATCATCATCATCATCGTCGTCGTCGTCGTCATGTTTCCTGGAGCTAGCATACTAAGTTTAAATGACAAACCTCAAAAGAAAACACCCGAGCATCATGAATGCACTATACATGGAGTAATAATAACAAATATAATGTATAAAAACAATGTATTAAGGCCATTTCTCAAGGTTACCAAACCATTTGATGAGTTATATACATAACATAAGAAATTATTACCGACACACAGAGCATCAGAAGAATATTCTTTAGCTTCCAATTCACCAAAATGATCTGATAAATATCAGTTTCGGTGACAAATAATAGTCATGGTAGTTTTGACGACTTTACCAAACCTGGTTAGAATATTCTGATTAGATGATTGAAGACTGGTGCTGGCACCGAATAAGGTGAAAAGCATTTTATTTGTCACCGAAACTGATCAGTTAGCTATAATCGGTCGTCTTGAGGCGATATGCAAATATACATTGAGACAACTACATAAATTGTTGTTTGCTGCTATTGCTATTTTAATAATTATTAGGTTTATTTATCCATTGTTACTGATACATTATTTTATTTGCAGGTGGTTTTTATCAAGACAATCATGGATATGTTAAAACTGGTAATTACAAAACCGACTGTAAACGGTGTATAAATGGAACATTTTCACCTTATCCGGGAGGTACTTCAATATTTGCTTGTCAGTCATGCCCATCGGGAACCAACACAGATGTAATGGCAGAACTCGATGCATGTCCATGCTTAGACAACTTTTATCGCACTTACCGCTACGGTGCATGTAAGTCGTGCCCAGAAGGCGTTGACTGCACAGGTGGTTACCAGAATTTGAGCAAGGGCTACGGGTGGTCGTGGAATTTTACACGTCATCCGAATCGTTTAGTTGAGTACAAACAATTTATTCATAATCTTACTACTTCCAATTTCAATCTCTCTGAACCTAATAATTTAAACGACACAGTGTACACAGGAAATTTTCCGGTGGCCCATAAGTGTCCACGAAGTGAGAGTTGCCTTGGTGGAATTGAAGCAAATTGCTCGGAAGGTTATTCTGCTAATGTTTGGTTATGTGCTGAGTGTAGTGACCATTATTACGAATTATTCGACAAGTGTTACGAATGTCAGGATAAACAAATAATAGTAATTGTTCTGATATTGTTAATTGTTGTGCTCTTATTTGTTTCGTACTTGGTGTGGAGACTGGATAAAAGAAGAGGCGAGACAATACGCAACGACTCTTTCGTGATTCATCTCAAAATTGCCATCAATTTCTATCAAGTGCTGGGCATTCTGACTGAAGTTAATGAAATACATTGGCCAGATTCGTTTCAATCTGTTGGAGAGAGTGTCCAATATCTCGATGTAATACGTTATGTCAATATTCTTAGCCCAAGGTGTATTTTTCCTGGTGTTTGGAATGCTTACACATTTTTGTATATTGCCATTGCAACACCATTCACTATTATTGTGTCAACATCTATCATCTTCCTCATCTGGCACCTTTACAAAAGAAACAAAGAGGATCACTCTGTGCATCGCTTAACAGACACATTCTTGGCGATTACAATGATGTTGCTGTATTTAACCTATGCCAACACTTGCTCAAACATATTGGCGGTCGGACCGTGGTCAGTTCGTACGTTTAATGTTACAGAGGATGGTGATAAAAAACGAGTGTTAACTTCTGACTACTCTATCGATATCGATGAATCAAATGGTTCAAAATACGAGACTAACAAGAAAGATGTGTATAAGAGACAGGATAAATTATCTCGGAAAGACGTCTTACTAAGTATTTATTCCATGTTTCCATGATAATTATCTTGGAAACTCGGAAACGCGGAAGGTCACTTTAAGCTTCCGTAGTGATGTGATTTGGTTGAGAAATATTTTCCTTGACCATTATTATTTGTTTTATTAATACTACAACAAAAATAAACCACAATCCATTACTACATTTTTGTCAATATTATTACCATTAATATTAATACAGTACAGGTGCTGTGTATAAGAGACAGGTACTAAATAGGCCATGCGGCCGGGCATGCGGCATTCTGTCTAGGGACTTTCGTACTAAATGATTTATCAACTGTTCCTTCTTATATATTAACTGTTGTATTTATTTTACTCGTGCCCTTCCTTGTAGTTAAGGCCTATACATCGTTAAATTTATGTGTACCACACTTAGGAAAAAAAAAGACACCAATTCTAAAACAATTTTACACGCACCGTTGTCAAGTATTCTCATGTATTTATAAAATGTTAATACAGAGTTCACGCACGAACAATTTACAAGGCATAAGGCCTACTATACTGTACTGACAAAACATAGGCATGCTAATATCATTTTTTTAAACATACTAAACACAAATCATGGCCCAACAATTAAACGTTTATGTTTAGACATTTTATCCCTACTCCCTTTTCCAAATCACTTATAAAGAATATTATTGTGATTTGTTATTCTTATTTTAACTCTTAATAATTATAAAATAATGGACCAAAAATTGATAGTAAAGAAAATTAATAAAATTAATTCAAATGAATGCGTGTATTATAAAACGCATTTTTAACTGTTTATGATATAATAATTCCTAAATGATATAGGAAAATCATCGTACGATTTAAATTATGAAACTCGTAAAAAAAAATATTGGTAGTTGTATGAACTGTATCGTAATTCAGTGTAATGTTTGTTTTCGTAGATGGACTGGACGTCATTAATGGAAGCTGTGGCCTGGGGAGCACCAGATGATGTGTTGGAGAATATGATTGAAATGGCAACAGTTGAGTGTTTCTTTCTACGCGCTCTTTACCCAGTATCAAGACAAGACAAAGAATACTACATAAAACAGGAACAGAGACAAATAAGAATTGTAAAAATAGATGAGATTTAACTCTGGACCAAAGATGAAGATGATTTTATGAAATTGAGTAGGTCGATCCACAATAATAAACTATAGATATACATTATACATGTACACAGTCCCTATTTGATTTAATAGCGATATCTTTTTTTACGATTTAAAACACCTGGTTAGGTACTGCGAGCAACTTCATTTTTTTCTCTACTAGTAATGTTATCATAATATCTCTCTGTTAACACGGGGTCATTGTTTGTTGGAGCAAGTTTTGTCCATGTAACAATCGGAATGTTCAGAACGTACTGTTTATGGTTTTAATCTCAATAATCAATTAATTTAGTAAATATACACTTGCGTGTAGTTTGTTGATGACGATTGACCTTGATACGGGCATGCGCAGCTAAAACTACCAATTGGCTTATTGGAAATTGGGACAACAATTAGTTTTCTTTAATTTCTATATATTATTTGGATCATGGCCCTTATAAATTGGCTTTTAAGTTATTTATGGATTTTCCTGTTAGATTAACAATTGCATTAATTAATTTTTCGCTTTATGTTGACAACATATTCGATAAGTAGGTAATAGAAATCCGACTGTCAGTAAAAAATTGTCTTTAAAATAAAAGTACCTTATCAGTTATACGAAAGAATACTACTATATGTATTGTATATATTACATGTTCAGAATAATGACATATTATTAACTATTTTTTAACTAAATAGTGATTAAAGTAACTTCATTTGATTATTGGATATTGCGTTTGTTGTAGTTTGAAAATGTGCTTATCTTCACTTCTTTTTTTTTTCTATTTACCAGTAGTCTATTCATTGACTTATACGGTCAAAATCCTTAGTAAACATGCATGAAACCCGATGATACGACAGGTGACGGAGGCAGAGAGAATTAAAATACATAATCCCGGCCTCAATAAGAAAGAAGAGTGGGGGAACATGCAGTCCCTTCGGCCGCAGTAGAGAACACTCCCAAGTTTAATTATATTTCTTGTGGCTAAGTATTATTATTGTGGACATTTTCTTTTTATATTGACGTTTTTCGTCTATACATTTTATCGAATTTTCTCATAGGCTATAATATAAAGGAACAGTGGTATGATGCCATGAGTTATTTACCATATTCATAAATAACCACTATTCCGTATAGTATTATGTAACATGTTATGCAGAAACGGAGTTACGAACCGGTTGTTCAGACGACGTTAGGTCTACGCCTGAAAAGGGTTCAGACGAACCGAAAATTTCTCTTAACGTGTCCTACGAAATTCTTACGAGACAGCACTAGTCCGTGAATTTGTGAACAAGATTGGAGATCTAAAGATGCAATCCCTACCGTTCATCAGTGGCGGCCCGCTGGATCTCAATAGAGATTCTTTAAAAATAATATAAATTTTAAAAAGCAAATGGGAAAAACCCATAAAACAGCAAACGGCTACATAATGCAAAGCTATTTAAAATTATAACGGAACAGTAGAGAAAATCCGATCAGAATGACAAAATAAACTCATCCACTGGAAGGAGTCACAATATCTGCAAACGGATCTGTTTCGGCCTTCCAGGCCTCATCAGTGCAGCAAGGGTATAGACCCAAACGAAACGTTCTACCAGCTTAGGTTGGACCCAAACCAGTCCCACGACTACTAATGATTACAGAGCCAAACCAAGGCAATATATATATATACACAGCCCATGAATGCAAATAGTGGAATACAAGCTATGCGGCTACCTAGGCCTAATCAGTATTTTTATTATTTTACAATGTCAAAATTTTTACTGGTTGGCCAGTTATTTTTACCTGTAAGATTGACGGCTAAAACACCTTCGAGAGAAAACTGCATATTACAGTACAGAAGGTAGAATGATCTGGTTGGGTAGCCTTACATAATACCTAGTAGCCTTACTATACTCCGTAATAAAATACACAAACCCTCTCTTTCCTCCTACCCCACCCCTTGCTATACCTCATAAGGGGCCTACTACTAGTATGAATACTACTGTCTGTCTCTTATACACATCTAGATGTGTATAAGAGACAGGGACTGAAGTATATTCGAGTACTGACTAAAATGCGAAGGGCTGCGTCCATTTGTCTGAGGTTTAATAAAAAGTTGGGTGTGGAGTGTGTATGACATAGTTTGCAGAATATGTAATGGTTCGGGTGACGGCTTTACGGAATTGTCCTGTTTCCATTAGTGCGAAGGCTCGTGGTAGAGCGGAGGTAGTGAAGGATGTACATTTTGCAGAAGGGTACTGCTGTGGAAGAGGATGGGGTCGGTGAAATTTTGTCAGGGAAGATTGATCCAGATAAGGGTAGTGAGGTGTGAGCGAATTCCCAGATTGGTGCTCTTTCAGTCTCCGGAGCTAAATTTAGTTATTGCCGATTCCAATGGTTCATCAGATGGTGAAGTTGTGGGAACGGCATTTGAACGTAGGCGGATTATGGCTGCGTGGAAGAAGCTTCAGGATTCTAAGTTGACAAAGGAGAGGGATTTTGTGATTACCTGCTCGTGGTGTAATGTGCGGGTTTCTTTTTCCTCTTGGGAATCGTTCATCGACCATATAGATACGGAGCACGCGGATGATATGATAGGTTGGCCGGTTAGAACATGCAAAATGCGAGTTAAGACCCTTGGATTATTTTCACAGTGCCGGAACTAGGAATTAAAAATAGAGGGAACTCGGGATATACTTTCACTGATGGAGGATTATAGCACCTCAGCCCCACCATGGTTGGGGCTGAGGTAACAACTTTGCGATTATGGTGCCTCTAGATGGCCGGAAATTCCACTTCCAGACTCTTCTTTATATCTCCATTAAAAAAAATTGAACAATTAATTTATGGGTTTGGGGATGGGTTGGGCCATCTGGGCCCCGAATTCGCCACTGACACTGACACATGTCACCACACTGATTTTGTTTTAAAATTTTCTGTTCGGGGGTTCGTTTACCTTCGTTGGATAGTCAGGATTTTCATTGGTTTTCAAGGGAAATGGGTTTCTTCAGTGTAATTAATTATGTATTTAGGTTTCTTCCTAGGTCAGAAAATGCTGTTTTGTTCGATTTTTAGTTTGTGTACACTGCTGGCAGGGAGACTCTTGTGCTCATTCGTCGAATGTGTTCACTCTATTTTACAACAGCAGCAACACCAGATTAGAATTAGATGTTCAATAGAAAAGAATATATATTTCATTTGTGTTTCACGTGTGTTCCGACAGAATAATAGAAAATAATGAAACAACTTCAGTAGTAGACTTTAAGAACACTGATTTATTATAAACTCGGATATTTCTGCCACTCCTGTGGCCTTCATCAGCGAGAATGAGGAAAACATCATGAACCAATATAATATAGGCTGTCTTATCAAAAAAGAATAAAGGTGACAGAGAGCAAATGAGGAATACTTATAAAACTGTACAATGATTGGTCTATTTATCTATGCATACTGAATATCTACAATAATAAAGAACCAAGGGTGTTAATTGCAGAGACTAAAAATCTGTATCTCATTAACCGTTTTTCGTCCAACACTATTTTTGAGTCTTAGGAAAATCAGTTACAACATACAGTATCAATAAATGTTTTACCTCCAGAGTCTGGCTTTAATAAACATTCACATCCCGATCCATTTTAATCTATTTTACAACAGCAGCAACACCAGATTAGAATTAGATGTTCAATAGAAAAGAATATATATTTCAATAAGGGTGACAGAGAGCAAATGAGAAATACTTATAAATTGTACAGTTTTATAAGTATTTCTCATTTGCTCTCTGTCACCTTTATTCTTTTTTGATAAGACAGCCTATATTATATTGATTCATGATGTTTTCCTCATTCTCGCTGATGAAGGCCGCAGGAGTGGCAGAAATATCCGAGTTTATAATAAAGTCTACTGAAGACGGTTAAATATCTTACTCTTCGCATCTACAACAATGTTAGCAACAGAGTCACCCAAGCTTGCTAAACTTGCACCACTTGGGGCTCTGGAATAAATTAAGAGAATTATAAATTAATTCTAGTTACACATTCATAGTTGAATGATTTCATTAAAAATCACCCAATTTTTGGAAAAAGTTTTTAATTGTCAATATTGTGTATCCTGATGAGACTTAACATTTTCAGTTGTTGCGAATAATTTAGTCCAAATTGGTTTAAAAATGGTGGCCCTTTAAAAATATGGATTGATGCATGCCTGTTTTATTATTATTATTTTTTTTTAACTCGTATCAGAAAGTAGTAAGGAAATTGGAAATAAATTAGAACAAACATTTGATTTGACATGCTTTACATTTAAAAGTGACTTGAGTTTACTGGTATTTTTCAGAGCAGATTCTGGAAGTAGTAAAAGGGGTCACATACAAAAGATATTTGCAGGTGCATGCTTCTCTTTTAAAGCAAAATATAATATGGAGTGCCATTAAATATAAAAAGTACTGTATTGTTAAATATCTTACCTTTCTCTGCCTGAAATTTTACTTTCGAGGTCTTTAATCATTGATGTCACAACAACCTAAAGATAAAGAAACAAAGCCAAATATGAGAAGAAATCAAGATGACAATAAAAAGTAAATTAAAAGTATTTATTTATCAACATCTCATCCTCAAACAAAGGCCAGCCATACCTGGCTTATGAGAGACAAAACATAATAGTACAAAGTGTAAACTGCAAAATATATAAGTGCTAATTAAGGTTTAAAAAAAAAACCCTTTATGTTTTTTCCAAAATCATATAAGCAAATTTAGCATTACATAAAAACAAAAGTTAACGTTAAAATAATAGATCGATATTATTAATCTTATTAAACAAATGAGAACGTAGTGCATCGTAAAATACACAAATCATAAAAAATTAAATTCATCTTCAATTAAATTAGGGTCGCAAAGTGGGCAAATTCTTTGGTCTGTGCAATTACCATTGCATAGAGATAATGAAAACACATGTCTGCTGCACACCACAATCAAATAAAAAAGAAACATATTTAATACATCTATATTTGGGTGTAATATGACATCAT